AAATAGATTACGCGGTAACATTTTTTCATTTATTTCCCCACCCCCTCACAAAAAAGACAAATCCACACATACATATACATGCATATATACATCCTATCTGTGATGAGTAGTGGTAATTGTAGATAACTATTGAAAGATTATTGTTTCATAAAAGAGATACATTTATGAAGTAGAGATTATTTCTCTTTTTGATTTGAGAGTATGAAAATATAGACATCTGTTTTGTTTGAGTATATAACTTCAATCAGATTAATCGAATAAAGCATTAATCCTCTTAAATTATCAAAGATTATATTTATCAATGGTCTCAATGATTGGAAAAAAATTTTAAGTGAAAAGTATATGTAAACTATCGTAAAGGAGTATGAACCAATGATTCAATGAATTATCAAAATCTAATACATTCCTATTGAAAGATTATTGCTATCAGAAGTTGTTGTTCCCATTTGCTAGACAGACTACAATACAGTAGTTGAGACGTTTTCTTGTCTCTAATGTCTATTTTCGTTCAATTAAGAAAAACCAATTGTTTATTCGTAAATTTATGATAGCTAAAGAAATAGATCGTGATATCTGAGCTGTACCACCTTTTAAATGTTTATTGTGAGTGGTGCTTTAAACATAGCAACGATTATATATATATATATATCAAATGACTTCAGTTTAGTGCCGAGCAAGATGCTTAGAAATCTCGTTGCTATAATAGGCTTCAGGTGCTTCGATATGTAACAAAGTTATTGAAAAACAATTGTAGTTCGTTCGGACTATAATGTGAACTTTAGTGGGGCCCGTAATTTTGTCCTATTTTAGATCGGACGATGTTGTCAAAAGGGCTCTCCACTTTAGTAGCCCGAGATCTGACTTCAAGTAGATCGTAATGATGAATGTTTTTGAAATATATATGTCGCCTATTCTTGTATATAATCGTCGACTTAAATCGCGTTAGTCAATAACGGAATTAAAAAAGTCAAATAACGAGAATGGACTTTTGAATACATATATTTTGTATATAAAGCGAATGAAATAGAGAGAAGAGAGACGATGCAGAGTGGAGATGGCTGGTAAGCCAACTCTCATTTAACCAAGAGTTAACCAATATTTCTAGTTACACAAAAGTAGGTTACAGACATGTGATGAGTAATGGGATAGGAAGTGTACACAAACCTACGCGCTCATATAAAGACAGTCAAGATTGATAAGCGAATAATTAACAAGGTCAAAATGTGACTCAAGTAGAATGAATAGAATGGGCTGTCCGAAAGCTAGAATTATCTATATGGGCTTAACATAATAACCAATACTACAGAACTATCCCTTATCTTAATAAATTTGAAAATATCTTAACAGTGGGACGATTACCAAAAATCGGTATCACGTATTGAATGAAAAGCTTTAGAACTAAATGCCTTCGAATTAAGTGTTTCAAGATAGATTCTAATGTATTTAGACTAATTTCCAATACACTAAACTTCTAAAACTGTTAAAGTATAACATGTGTTAACAACATACTAAAGTAAGAGCTGAACAATCAGTTCCATAATGATGTGACTTGATTGATAAATGCCAATGGAACCACAGTCCCAATGTTGGTCAAATTAATTCAAAAGAGAAATACTAACAAACTGATTAGATTGATTTTCTAACAAGATAAAATTCATTAATGCACAAAACGATCAAATGCAGCATAATTCACACCTATATTATCGAATAAGAAATAGTCACAAACACAACCAATAAATTTTTGATTGAGACAATGAACCGATTGATGTTAGACCACCGTTGAGAACCTGGAAGCACTGGATGGCCGTTCCGTCCTATTTTGGGACTCCCCAGCGGTGCGTGTCCACGATCCCGCGCACGGGATTCGAACCCTGGGGCCTCAGTCTCGTGCGCGAACACTTAACCTATTGGACCACTGAGCCGGCATCCCCCTATACCGACTACCAATAAACTTGGGCTACTAATAAACAACCAATCACCAAGGTATATTGTGAACTATTGAATCAATCGAAAATTTTAGTGATAGGATTTGACCCAGATTTTAACCTGCAGTTTTAATTAACATTAGAGAATTTTAGTATGAATATAAGGAATATGTATATTCTATTTGAAGGCTTACATAATCGATACCATAACCAAATCATAGTTTCTAGAAACATATATTTTTAACATATCTTATCATTTTTAATAATTCACTAGGTATGTGGACATTTTACTTACATCCCAAGTCGGTAAGGATTATAGTACATTAATTGCAAACCTGAAACTTTTCGATTCAGATTAGACACCTATGCAACAGACCTCCTTGACACGGTGTGGTTCTATGGGACAAGTATTTCCGTCATAAAGTTATGTTTCATTATGATATGACGGGATAGCCTGATTGACAGTTTGGGATTAATACTGGTTGTCGTATCCTGCGATCGTTTATTTGTTGAACGACCACTAATCAGGTTTATTCTTGTGTTTAATATTTAATATATAAGCATGTTATTTCGTCGAAAGAAAACCTCTTTTACTACCTGTCAGTCAATATTCTGAGTAGTTATTACTCAGCCCTATAGCATCAGTTAGTATGAACAATCGGTTGGCGCACTATATCCATTAATTTAACAATTTCCAAAAAGTCCTTCCATAATGAAGAATCATAAGAAACTTACTCATAACAAGAGCTTGGGTTAGAAAACTCCAACCACAACATCATGTTGGGAGATAATGTCCAAAAACAATAGGATAAGTCAGTGTTTCGAACGGAAGGATCAGTCCTTAATTAACCTTTTCTATAAACTGTGTTATCTTGACAGTTTAATTTCATTGATCTGAAGCAAACGCGCAACATTACAATATTTTTTCAACGCATTTTGCATTTACAACGGAAACAAGATTTATTTAAGCTGAACTACTAAATAGCTTAATTGTAACATTTTTTTTCATGCTCATTTTCTAGCAAACGTTAAGGATTATATCTATACTGCCAATGAAAATTGAGAGAAATCAAAAAAATGCGTCCACTTTAGTTACAAATCATTTCAAAACTGTATTTCTTAATGAATTTTACTCGAAATCCATTTTGATTCTAATTTTTCAGTTAAAACAAGAATGATTCACTTATAATATTTTGTTGACTTGCTGTGATACAATTTAGACTATTTTAGGAAGTAGTATTTTATATTCATTAGTATCCACATGTTAATGAGTGGCAACAGTTATCAGTACTATGGTTTTTTCTTTCAATATTTTCTATCACTTAATGCCGAATGAAAATTCGTTGTTTACAGCAATATTTACAAGAAAAATCACTTGATACAGCTCAACTACTTGAGCTAAAGGTTATCTATCTTAATAAACAAATACAGTGGAAATTATTCTCATGAGCATATCAACAAGAGCTCTTATAATTCAGTTATTGTTTGTCTTGAATCCAGGATGGCTGTTTTATTACTTAGTTATATATATAACGGTTTGAGTTTTTTAGTTGTACACTCAGTTGACGAACCCCAAATGGAATGAATCGCAAGCTCTGAATCCCACCACTAGCCAAATAAAAAATCTACCCTATAGAGTTAATTAACTGAATACTGCAAGCACTGGATTTTGGCATCTATGACAGTCCATCGATAATTACCTACTCTTTTTCTCTGAAAATAGTAATTCACATAGTATGAAATGATGACTTTGTGATGGATATATATAATGTCCTCTCTAGCTAAGTTGATAATTGTTCAAAAACTTTTCCACTGATTTATTCCACTTATAAAAATATGGTATTACATTGAGGATGTAGAGCATTTCTTTTCTTGAGACATAGTAACACGTTCGTAATGACTTTTTGAAGTCCTAACTAAATCTGCTTGTTTGATGTGAGTAGAGGACTGAAACATAAAAAACTTCTCAGAGTAGAAACACTATTCGATGGCAGCTTTTAGGAACCCCTAATCCAGTAATATTTCAAGTAGGATAAGACTTTTAACTGGAATGACTTGTTGAATTAGATAAGCAATTAAACAAAGTGAATGGACAAACCAAATGAAGCATAAAGTCAAGAAATAAATTTAAGATCACATAAAAGCTTATTCTTGAAAGCCGAGTTTTCATCCCACCGATTTCGCTTTACAGCATGAGTATATATGTGGAAACTTGGTGGTTGGAGACAGTCACTTAAGTTTCGTCCTAACTGGTGTTCACCAATAAGGTGGATCTGAATTCTTGAAGTTTGGTGCTCCCTGTGAAATCATAACCCAAGTTGCCGAGTTTGAGATGTTACTACTAGGGTGTTTGGGTAGAACTTAGTAGTGAGATGTCTACCATGACTAATGACGCCATAGCAACCATGACATTTTTCTAAAGTTTAGGGCTGACCGATTTATATTGATCAGCAACATATATATACAAGAATTGTCGTACATAGTGAGAGAAAAGTCGCATACACTATAGATGGGTTGGAGCATCACGATATGTAACACCGGAAGTCTGCGATATTACTCCTATATATCCTATTATTCATCTGTACAGATTGCCTTATGAAGACACATCTGTGTCACCCTTAACAATCAGTCACATGGCATGAGGTACGACGACAGACACAATCGTTTGCAATGGTGCAGGTGTACTCACTCTTTGTGTCCCCATAGGTTTTAAGCTTTGAAATTACCTTATAAGACTTTGTTAATTCACTATTCGATACTTTCTTTTCGAATCATATCCCCGATGCTCAATTTGTCCTATTACCATTAATAGTGTTAGTATCGCTACTACCCTAGGATTTGCCGTAAAAAATTTCATTTCACTGTGCTAATGGGGGTATGCTAATTTGAACCGATGTACATACGTACCAGGCTTTAAGTTGAGTATGACTGATAACAGACAGATTATAAAACTTCTCTTTAGTAAATGCGGTAACACCTAATAGATCGTAAAATAACCCAATGCACTAATGCATCTGACAATACATCATATCTTGTACTCTGAAATCTCATATTTTTCAACAAATAAGTAAAATTCAAAATGCAAATTATGTTTATATTTTTCCCCTCTCATATTCAAAACACAACGTCAATCAACGGAAGGGAAGAAAAGCAAAGAGAAGGTCTAAATGATAATAATAATCATAAATAATAGTAATAAGCATATTAATAATCACTATCATACTACTACCAATAATAATAACAATAACAGTAATATCAAGCGCATCATTGTTTTACTCCTCGAGAGAATAGGTGAACATTAATTGACTATAGGAAAAAGTACAGTTTACTCCTTATAAAAGACAAATATCAGAGATAAACGAAAACCTTATACAACTAGGGAAAGAATACATTGATAGGAACACCAACGATACTAATACTATCCATAATGATAATAATAGTAATACTAAAGGATATTAGCAATAAAAAATTCGCTAAATAATGTAATTAGTCGCAATTTCTTTTCTAAAAAAAAACCAGGTTACTAGAAAGGATGAAGAACGATAAAAGCTTTTTTACTTTAATAAACAGGCTGGAATGATGCAGAAAGTCAATAAACACAAGCAGCTTAATTATTACAACACGATGACGGGGAAACAAAGAATGAAGATATATGTATAGTTTAATTATAAAGATATTGTTTGTTTAAAGTAAATTACGTGAGAACAGGAATACAATAAAACAATAGATAAATCACAATTTATTACTTATAACGAAGAATAACGATAGACAAGTATCTGTGTGTAGATGATGATGAAGTATAACAATGCACCAACATCTCATAATAGTGAAAATACGAGAGGTATGTGGACAAACTCAGCATAAACAGACTAGTAATACTAACAATATTCAGCCTTCCGTGTCAAAATTATTGATAGAGAGGTCGATACAAAGTGTCACGAGTCATCCAATAACTGAAAGTTATAACATATGTAAGAAAGCAAAAGAAACGTTAACATAATAATGATAATAACACTAGCGACAGACTGAGAAGAAAAAACATCATAAATTTGGCTGATAATGCTGAGTATTATTATTATTATTAAGTAGATAGAAAAACAAATATTTCCATTTGCTTCTCCTTGAACTCTTCCACACGTACACAAACATTTGAGCTATGTAGATCGAAAATAGATAAGGACCACGACGATAGTAACCATAACAACAACAGCAAAGTGGTAAACGATAAGAAAGACCAGTCCTCTTCAGTTTCACATGCATATAATTAACATTATATATGCACAGAGAACAATGAAACAATAGATGAGTGTTTTATTCTTAAAAAACACACAATAAAATCAGCCATTTTCGGAGGACAAATACAAAAAAGGAAGCATGAAAATAAATTTACATATAAAGGTAAAACACGTTATCATTATTATTGCTGTGCTATCAATTTATACATAAAAGGAATGGCACTGGGGAGTTATATGAGGATAACAAAAATAAATGTAGATAGATAGATGATGAGTAGGTGAGTGTGGTTTTATAGGTGTCGGTAATGAAATGCATAATAATTCCTGTTTTGTAGTTAACACATGCGTTTCAGGGACAAAAGTCTGTGCATATAGCTTCTCAAATACAACCTCATAAACAAACAAGTCCTAAAAATATTGAGATGTACATGTATACATTTTACACTAGGTGGGAAACAAAAAATCAAAACAGGAACAAAATAGAAACACAGGAAACAGATTGATTTTAATACCAGTTCCCCGCTCACACGCACATACACGCGTACAACATATGAAATCAAGTGTTCTTTGTCCAATTATTATTGTTGTAGTTGTTCTGTTATAAAAACGAAAAATAAGACAAGAGAACCGAGAAAGAAAACAAGTAATAAAAAACCCAAAGTTAGAGAATTAGACATTTTCGTTTCGATGTTTTCTGTTTCACTTGTGGCATTTGCTTGTTGATTTGTCGGACAAGATCAAAGAAAATCTACATTTTTTGTTTACAGAAAAAATGAAAAAAATAATTATTATATAGGATAAAGTTAAAACAATGATTTTAATGAGATATTTTACAAATTTATTAAACAGATTAAAGTGAGAAAAATACTCAGGACTAAAATTAATTATCGTGCTGAACCAATCAGGATTGAGAAAAGGAATTCAAAGTTATAGCAAGTAAATACAAAACCAGGATGTTGACTATCGAATGCGTGCCCCCAAATGCTCTGGTACGGCCGAGAGTAGGGAAAGTCAGCTCTCCCTCTCGAAACGCTCTCACACGGCCATACGTATATTAGCCTCTGCCAGGGAAGTCCTACTCACTGCATTCTCGTGACAGGGGTGTTGTTTACGAAATTGAGAGGAAGAAAAGCCAATGTCCGGTGCTTTAACCGAATTAGTGGACACGGAGAATCCACCTAGGGGGGTTAGAAAACCCTCATTCCAAACCAATGGTGCACATGGGCTCCAGTATCATGTTTACAGTGAGTCTATACAAACGACGTTGAATTCAAGAAAAAAGAACACATAAAACTCAGAAAAGCTTGTCACTAATGTAGCAGCAATATATTATTTGTGCCTTCTTTCGTATTACCGTCATAAGTCATTGATTTACGACTACTGTTTCCTGATTTAGCATCCCATTCGTGTAGACGAGGAAAACCGAGAGTAGCAAAAGTATTATCCTGCAGTAGATATTCAGGACTGAATTTTGATCGATCCTTGTTAGTACTTGCGCATCCTGTGAGGAACCGCGTTGATATAGCTATAATGTCACTAATTTATTTGAAATAGATGGAATGTGGCTAACAGTAGAATGACAAACGGACGTCTCATCCTATTTGGGACTCGAAACCAGGGCCTCCCGTTTTAAACATCAATACATCATCCACAGAGTTAGATGGCTATTAAGATGTTCAACGAGTATGATAATAATGCTAGGATCTCTTTACAAATAAATTCGTAACGCAAAGGTCCTAGAGCGTGAACTCAAAAGTGAACATCAACAGTAAGATGCATGAAAATTTAACTGACGAGTCCCAAATCAGGACGAGACGCACCTTATACACCCTACCGCTAGACACTCCATTTAATTGTAAAAAGTATGAAGTATAGTTAATAGGTCAGTCAGTCAACTACAACGTAGGACCAAGCACATATGTGCATCGGTCCAAGTTCCGACACTTCCTTAGCACAATAAGATTAACATCAAATTCACAGAAACAGTTACTTCAATGGCAATAATATATTTTTTAAAAAGATTGCATATTAGGACATGGTATAAAGAGAAAGAATTAGTTCGTATAAAGAATATAGAGCAATTTTAATCTCACGGTTTAGGGGAAAACAAAGAGTGTATACACCAACATCAGTGTGATTGATTTTGAGTCATGTCACACACAGTCTCCAACCACCGGTTACGATAGTCACGCAGACCTCAACCAAGTAGTCTGCATCTACCAACATGACTCAGACCAGAAGTTAGTGACTTCAAGGACTGATGCCACGTTTTGGTTTGGCCGCCCCTAACTTTCTTCTAACCGTCTCTAACACTAGTCAGCATTGCGGGTCGTGATAATCGGTGTCCAGGCACACATAACACGTGGCCCAACCATCTCAGTCGATGAAGATTCACAACCTTATCAACTGATTTACCATCATTCCCTAATACTCTGCATCTGACTTCACTATTACTTACCCGGTGATCCCAGTAATATTTCTAAGACATCTATGACCAACTACCAGTAACCTACGAGTATCCTCTACCCTTAATGGCCACATTTCATAGCCGTTAATTAAAACAGAACGAACTGCTGAACAATATACTCGTCCCTTAATTGACAGACGGATATCTCGCTTTCGTCAGACACCAACCCATTGAGGCTGATCAGACCTCCAAGATAAGTGAAGTTGTCGACGCGGGCCAGTCCTGGAGCAACAACTTGCATTTAGAGGGGGAGAAGTGCATCCCAAACATTCTGGCATTGTTGCTCAGTGTTACCAAAAGACTGAATTTCATCAGCGTCTTCACTAAACAGGACTATGTTATCTGCGTATTCCAAGTCAATAAGTGGACCTCTTGGTAGGAGATTGATTCCCGAAAATTCCGACGACGAGAACGTTATTTCCAGCAGCAGGTCTATGATGAAATTGAAGAAAAATGGAGATAATAGACAGCCTTGTCGGACACCACTTGCGGTTGCAAAATCAGATGATAGTTTGTCATACGAGAGTCTATCAGCCCAAGAGATATCGCAGAAATCAACTGGTTTTTCGTAACCCTTTGGTTCAAATCACTAATAGATGTCGCTGCTGTTTGCGCGGTTGTTCGTATATCTTTCCAGATAACATCTCGGTCAGGTTCGTTTTGAAAATTACTTAAATGTGACTTCAATTGTTCTTGGAATTTACCCTTAGCTTTTTCATCGCTTAGTTCAACTCTAAGGGAACCTCTTAATGTGGCTTTTCTGAGTCCATATTTAAGAAGTAGCACATGGAATCGAAGAATGAACAGCTAGAAATGACGCTCAACTCAGGATCTAGAACAGAGGTAAAGAATACAACTGATAGGAAGTTTGAACCTAACGACACACCTTAAACTAGTTAATGATTTTAAAGATTGATCCCATGTAATTTGTCTATCCTCTTTCACTTTTTATTAAGCCTCACTAGCGAGAGAATTTCTAATATTATGATACAAAATATGTAAATCGTTTTATTTTTTTAAATAATTAATACGACTACATATAATTTGTAAACAGCCGAAGAGAAACAACGAAACAAATGAATTCATGTTATTCTGCAACGTTCGTTCTTTCCGCTTTATTCAAACCTAATTATAATAAGCACTTCTCAAACTATGTTTACGTTGATTGATAACAAAAGTCATTAACCTGGTGTGATTAAAGTACATGTTTTGAGAAATATCAGTCGTGACCTGAATAGCTCAATGATAACTCCTTCGGTTATGTGAAACTGAGTGGTGCAGGTCTGAATCTCACTGGTTGTGGCATTATTACTCTCAAGATTGAAGATACACCCTGATGACCATTACCAACTAGGATGAAACCTAGGTTGATGGATTCTTGCCAATCTTTTCCAACCACTTAACACTCAGAGATATACTACTCATAATTATTATGTATTTTATATATTTAATGGCTGTAGGTGTTCTAAGAGTTAATTATCCTTCTCAATTTGGCTTTCTATATGTCGAGGGCATCAGCGGATGCCAACGATAGCCTAGAATGATAGTATTTAAAGAAACGGATGTTCTAGCCAATATAATTAGGTTGAGTCACAATGATATCCAAACCCGACTACCATTGTCAAGTTGGCAACTACAGTTTATGTATATCATATTGGATGCTTTAAAATGATTAAATATAAAAAATGAATGAAACATACTTCATTCACATTAATTTTAGCTTTGGCACTTGTTTCCATAAATGAACAATTTAATTGTCGACTAAGCGCATGACCCTGTTCACGACAAACTACTCGTTCATCTGCTAAATCACATTTATTTCCTACAATTATAAGTGGGACATTGGAAACATCTTTGACACGTTGAATTTGTTCATGCAAACCTTGTAGATCATTAAAACTGGATTGTGATGTAACTGAGTAACATAAAACAAAGCCTTGACCATTTTTAATGTACAGATCACGCATAGCAGTGAATTGTTCCTTGATAAACAATGTTAAAACAGATTATTCAAAAAGGGTAATAAAAACAAATCATACGATTGATTATTGGACGAAAAAATACATCTTATACAGTCAAACTATCTGAAAAATTAATAACCGGTTATGAACTACGTGGGTACTATATGCAGATTTAAAGAATACAACCGAGTCCGTTCATTTATACACAGACTGAGGTCATAAAACTTGACAATTTTGAAATACATCAATCATATATATCCCTTGCAAAATATCCTTTCCATTTGTTGAGACATAGTTTTACCAGCTCAGCTTTTATTGTTTGAAACATTTCTGAAAATCACCAGAAACCAAATTTTTCATCTGCCTTATCGTGTTACAACTAATTATTTGCACATCATTGTGAACTTGGGGAACATCGTAGGGGGCTAGGTCTGGATAGTAGTAGTAGTAACTAGGGTGATCTAATGTGATGCTTAAACTTAGAATCAAAACCTCATGGATAATTACGGCTGAATTCGCAAGAGTATTTTCACATCTTTATTGGACAGTTCGTGTACTTATGAGAATTACAGGTTTCATCAACTGGTAGTTGACATCGGGGCCAGACTGACTCAAAACGATAAGCGTTTAAGTTCAGTGTGATTTTCCATTTAGTTATCCCTATAATCAACATAGCAGCAGCTCAGTTTGTACATTTAATGAATAAGTACGACTTAGTGACAATATTTGATTGTTGTATTGTTAAGTTCTACTATTACTACTACCAATCCCTGACTGGTGTCTAAATCACGAACCACAAGCTTCAGCTTTCATTGGTGTGACACTTACAAAGCAAACATCGTAAAGAAACTACTTTTGTCTGTCAATAAAAAACCAAAGATGTTCTATCCTAGATCTATTTTAAGGATAGAGACGAGTATAACCCAGCAGGTTGACTAGATTGTGACCTCGAAAATGAACAATTCTTCGGGTGAAAAACTTCTAGTAGACTGATAGCTACCGATTATGGATGCCAATTATATAAGTAATGAAATACCGTTAGTCGGGTGTTGGTAAGAGTAATGTTTCAAAACCTGACGAAAAGTGAATACTTGTACTATGCATTTATAACCAGATCTGAAAACTTGATTAGGTTCTTCACGTTTGCTGTTCCAATGCTTTACTTAATTGTCAAATAACAAAAAAAAATAACTATCTCCACAACCCTACACTGATGAAAACTAATATGTTTGATGCGTTAATAATCAAACTGTGTGGTGGATTGGGGCTTAGAGCACTCGACTTTCAACCAACAGGTCCAAGGTACGAACTCCGATCCATTAAATTCTGTTTGGGAAAGCAGGAAATATCTATGGAACCTCACATCTCGTATAGCAGGCACATAAGCCTGGACTTGGTGAATGAGCTATATTTGTAATAATGGTACTTCATGTGTGATTGTCGTAGAACTTCGCTTTTCCTTACAAACTACGACGATCAACGATTGCGATCAGTCACATATATTTACTTTTCCCACCTCTTTTGCTTTTCTCGCCCATCACTTTTTGCGATCATTGCGTGAATTTATGTCAGTGATTGACTTTCACTAATTATGATATTCGGACTCCTTCAAGATGAGCACCCAAGAATCGACAGGTTTAGTAAAAGGTTTCTGATATTTGTTAATCTTTTCGAACCTTTTAATGTGGATTGCTTACAAGCATTACTACTGTTCTGATAGTAGATTGCAGATTATCCCAGTGAACCTCAGGGTGAATAATATCCTTAGTTTTAAGTCTTCGACCGTAAACGAGATTGACTAGAATGTTATAGAAACAAGTATCAAGTTCGCCATTTCTATTGACATGAATTGTCTAGAATGTAAACTACGAACCTGTAACTTAATTCAGTTGATAAATTACCCTGGTATCAACTAATTACTAAATGATAAACCGCTTCAGGTGGAAACAGAACCAAGCAACGCCATGTCAACAGAAGTCAAGGCTCTTTTTCTACTGTTGTATCATACATGAACTCTGAACCGGTTTATTATGCAAAATCAGACATCATATGACTATACCATTTTGCGCTTCTCAACTTTCAGATGGCATTTAATACCGTCTGTCGAGGTTTTGTGGCAGTGTGCCGTTAAATGGAGTAAATGCATATGTAGAACTTTACAAAACTTACCGTGCCAGCTGTGTCAAGAATTTCCAACATACACTGCCTGTTATCAATCTCGATTTGTTTTCTATAGCTATCCTCAATGGTTGGATCATACTTTTCCACAAAGATTCCTTGTACAAACTGCACAGTCAATGCACTTTTTCCGACACCCCCACTTCCCAGAACAACAAGTTTATACTCTTGCATTGGATTTAAGGATGAATATTTTTATTTAATCGAGTTAATAAGTTGTGATCAATGTGTGGTGATAAGGTTAGGATTGTAAAACACTTCTGAATATCCCGTTTTTACTACGCCGTATTACAGCACCTAAACAATAGAAAAAAGCAGACCGTACATAATTTAGAGATTCCCAACTATGCTTCAAAATTTAAAAACGAAACAGTTACACTTATGATTTTGTAAGCATCATTTAGGTTTAAAATGTTTTTACGGTTTAGATTATAATGACCATAGTGTAGCCGCGGTGCAGAATTTGGGTTCCTTATGAGTATGTGTTAGAATAACCATTTGAAGAACGTTACTAAACCTTTTCATAAAAATTCAAGTGTTTCAAATAAAGTCAGACTTGCCAGCATAATGATGAGCTCACCATGAACTGGAAACAGTTAAAAATTGGCGTATAAACAGCCAAAGCACGCACAGCTACGGACTGAATTAGAGGGAGAACTAAGTGGGGTCAAGACGTGATAAAACCACTGCACATAACTAAGTCTCGAAATCGTCTAATTCACCCATAAGAGATTAGATTACTGATTTTAAATTACAATAAACCAATAATAATCACAAGGTTTCAGAAGGGCGTTAACGACTTATAAAGGTAAAATACATTAATTGTAAAGGGGAATGAAGATGGAAATGAATTAGAAGATAAAGCTTGTAAGATATAATGCATGGACACAAACTGAATTAATCTAGTACAACAAATTCGACGACATACATATGTTGATGCCGTCAATCTTAGTCCTTTCTGGTGCAAAATAATGTAGAGCCAAGATAAAGTAACAGTAACCAATTAGCACCATTCAGTAAGTTCAAGGTATGGACAAACTGAAGATCCACCGTACGCATACACGGAGACACATAACTTTCGTCGTTTTCATGAAGGGCTATATACTAGCACGAAAATCAATATGCAGACATCCAAACTTTACTGAGGCACTTAGCTCGTAAAGCGTTGCATCTGTATTAATGTATTAGCGGAGACTTCTAGCATAAATGACTCATCAATTTAATGTTTTTAGTGACAGACACACGAGCTCATGAAAAAAAACCAATGTGTGTAAGGTGGTTGTAGATTGGGAATTTTTTATAATCAATTCACTCAGGTCGGGATAAAAATACTCTAAGTTAATCGTCTGGTATAAGACGGATGCTGTAGGCCTACTCAGTTCATACGTTGTGCTTGTCACATATGTAGTTTTTAACGAACCTCGATAATAAAAACAATGTAATTATTACTTGTGGTTTCATATTAGTCGAGTGAATAATCCAATAATTTGTTATAGAAAACGATTGCCAATGAGCAGAATCTATGACAATAGTCGGATAACATACAATAACGAGTGTTAGAACAATACTTATTACCATTAGACGTTATAAAGATGAAGAATGAATGAATATACCACGAATAACTGGGAATATATGGAAAAGTCAGAATTTACGAACATAGGATCCCAAAACAGCCGCCTCGAAGATTGCGCGCTACTAAGCAATCATTGTATGAGTTCAAATAATCGTCAATAGATGGAAAATATTTCGCCTACATAACCTTTATATCTTACGAAGGTTTGTATAACGAGAAATCAGGTTTTATAATAAAAATGCCCTTTGATTGTTATGGGCACTAAGAAAACCCTATAACGCATGTCACTGAACTTCATATAATAACTATCTGATATATCTTTTTTAAGCACTTATGTACAATAAACACCCCACAAGACTGTGTATTACTTTACCCACATTATCGAATATTCATATAACCGATAATTTCAATATGTTTCATAATGTTAACCGCTACTGAACAGGTCACAAAGTATAATAAATCAGTAATGTGCACAAGTCATTAGTTTGTTTTTCAGCTATGGTATGCTTAGACATAGTGCGATTGATTACGGTCAAGTGGAAACAGGTGGCGAAACGATTATTTATGGACGAACCAATAAGGTATAAGATAATAGGCTAAATAGCTTTGGCATTATAGGTTATGTCAGTTCGTGATGAAAACCCGAAATCTAATTCTTAAGGTTAATCATCAGCTGTAAAACGTAATTCTAATCGCTCACATAGGTTTACAACCCTCATTCGGTCATAGATATTAGGAGGACACTCTCAAGGTCAGGCTTGCTTGGCTCAAAGGTCGTCCATAAATTATAGTCTCACCAAACAGGTTTAACTTAATGCATGGCTTTCGTCAACCAGCCTGTCTAAGAATTTGGGTCCATATTCATTGAAGAAGATAAAGGATCCACGAACTCCTAGAAGTCGAAGTGGCATTCCATAAACGAATTGAACCGCGTTGTATCCAATGTCAGCTTTTACTGCATTGCGAATACTGAGTAAAATGAGTGGAAGAGCTTCGATTCACTGCTAAACGTTTTCAGCTGAGAGTGAAGATTTAAGTTGTTTTCTTGTGAGCGGTAGGCGATTGTTCGTAATAGCATGATTCCTTATAGTGTGATCAGACAACGGAAGAGTCCAGATTCGAATTCGCATCAACGGTCTGTAGTGATAGTTGAAGGGTGACCGGAGTTTGCCAGTCACCGTTCGACGAAGAAGCAAGCCACTGTCTCAATAGTAATGTCCTTGATGGGTAACGCTTCTGGCCACCGAATGAAACGGTCTACACAATTTAAGAGATAAAAGTATCCATTTCGTGCCCGTAGGTAACCGTTCTATTGATGGGAGAAGTCAGACCAGTAGTAAATAGATCTTTATTTTGATCGTGTGTCAGTCACAGTGGAGCCGGGGCTTAACTGTTCAAACACGCAAAGCTTTTCCACATTCAATATAAGATAATAGGAAATATCATGTTTATAAAAAAATGAGGAAGTGAATGAGTTTCATTGAGTCCCATTGTTTTGACATATACTTAGTTGCTTGAGGTCGACTCTTAGTAATCAACTTAAGCTGTTATATCCATTTCAATCTGGTAAGGGTCCTGCCGAATGGAGATGAATATGGTCGAAACGACATCAGGAGTTGTGGAAGAGCTTAAGAAGCATTTGTTGTGCCTAATCACCTTATATTTCTGGCGACTTACATAAGAGCGCGCCCACTCCCTTACGTCTTTATTCATATCAAGCCAGCAAAACCGTTCTGCTATAAGCTTGATGGTTGCACGAACACCTGGATGAGGACTTTTGTGCAACGTATTGAAGGCATTGCGTCGATAATGTGTCGGCACGATTGGACGATCCCTACCTGTAGGTGTGCGCGTAGTGAATCTTCCTTACCTGTTCTCATATGTTGAATGCGCGGTTTAAGGGTTGTTGTGGATAATTCGTGCTAGAGATCATTGTCTTCTTTGTGAAGCTGAGCGAGTTTAAAGAAGTCGAGTCCTCGGAGACCGTTCAAAGAAGTAATACGAGACAAGGTGTCTGAAACCACATTTTTTGCCCCAGAAATATGTTGTATATCTGAAGTAAACTGAGAAATGTTGTCCGGTTTGTCGAAACTCTCGAGGTGGATACTTGTATGAAGGTGATCTAATAGGGAAAGCAAGAGGTTTGTAGTCGATGGAAAGAGTGAACTGTCGGCATTCCATGGAGTGCTTTAAGTGCCGTACAGAACAACACAGAGCTAGGGGTTCCTTACCGAAATTGTTACACCTCGATTCTGTGTCTAGCAACTATCTCGAGAAGAATGCTAAAGGTTGTTAGCTGTTGTTTACCCATTGGCGTAGGACTCCTCCGATTGCCGAGTCAGACGCGTCTACTGCGATACTAACGGGTGCTTCGGAGTCCCAGTGTGCCAGCAGCATTGCTTTGACGATACGTTTCCTAACTGTGGAGAATGATGTTTTGAGATGACGTTCAAATTGACGATTTTCTTATGTCCACAAAGTTGGCCCGTTAAAGGTATCATAAGGGATCTGCAATCCGGAATGAACCGTCAGTAGAAACTTACCAGGCTGTTGAACGTTTGTAGTCGCTTGATTGTGGTAGGTTCTGGGTAATTCAGAATGGCCGCCACTTTGCTTTCTACAGATCGTATGCGTTCAGCATCGATAGTATATTCGGCAACGATTTGATATTTCTGAGTGTTTACAATTATGCTGTGTCTTTGAAGTCATTCAAAAACAAGGTCCAGATGCTGGGTTCCTCTTACGCATATTAGCGTGCTAGACAACAAGAAAGAATGGGTAATACACAAGAATTCAGTACCTGAGAATCAAAAAGAATGCTCTCAAATAGATAGGTTGAGGTATCTATTTGCGATGATTACACTAATCCTTCCAAGCAGTAGTCAGCGATTAACAGTCACACACTGGACCACTCCATGACCTTGAGCTTAGTCAAACACGACCATATTGTCGATAGTCCGGCAGCTCGCAACAGAAAAATCAGGTAACAAAAGGTAAATCTTTGATCAAAGTCACATAATGAAAGCTCAGACGAGGGAAACTGGAGAACACAAAGCATGGTTAAAAAAGATCTGAATAAGGGTTAAAGTACTCGGTCTGGAGAAGAAACAAATAAATGATAGTACAGTCCTACAAAATGCTGTGGAGTGATTTTCAGTGTTCTCTTTTCGTTACAGGCTGTTAGATGGCCGAATAATTCCCGAATCTATCATATTGTCGAATCCGTTTTTAGTCAACCTCAGCTTTTCAGGAGCTAGTCGACGCGCTTTCGAGAATGCGGATTGTCCTGTAGTCGTGATGTGATGTGCAACACTGTTGGTTACACATTGTAAGATCCGTTTCGAATGTTTTGTGTTTGTGTGACAATCCCTCTATGTATACACTTGCACTTTGTTCCTATTGATTCCCTTAGTTGTACATTGTTAGTCTTTCGATTACATTTGAATTGTTGATATTTGTATTTTTTACTATAGTTTTTATTTTTCTTACGCCTTCACTAAGTTTTTGTGTTTCTTCCCGAACTGCATCTATGTTGTTTTACTCGATACTTGTTCCTGGCGGCAGCCATATTGATTTGCCTCTTTTGTGAGTGTTCTATCCAGTCAGGATAGAATAGCGTTCACTTGTTGTGAGTGGCAATTTTTCCTGCATCTTTTATCAACTTCTTTATTTATTGTAATTTAGATTTGATTGATTGGACAATTATTGGTTGAGTAGGCGGGTGTTAATATTTGTTTAGGTAACGATGTACATGTAAATTTATGATGAATTATAGAACCGTCAGTTACCCGATTACTTGTTGTGATTTCGACCGGCAAATGCCCTACCTACCTCAACGTCTATTCTTCAGTCCAAACCGTAGTTTGGATTCTACACACATGTTAATTTTGGTCGCGTTTGCTATATCTCGAGGTACTTGTCGATTACTTTTTATGGTATGGATCGATCGTGTGCCTTACATTGACTGTGGACAATCTACAACCGGAAAAAGGAGTTACACAAACAGATAAATTAGTATTTCCGTCTACTAAGCTCCGTTTGAGTATGGCGATGGGTAGATTATGATGTTCTAGTAGGTTTATATCAATGATTGGCATAGGAACATCTACAGCAACGAAGATTCAGTAGATGGGTATGAGTAAATCTATGTCAAGTTGTAAATATCGCTTACCGCAAGCATTTCTCATTTTGGTCGGTTTGGGGCTCGAGAAAATTCAGTGTTTTCTACAATTTCGAGATTTTCCATACTTAGTGTGATATCGACATCAATCAGGGTTATCTGTCTCTCGTGATTAGGAGACATCTCTTTCGTGAAGTACTCCTTCAAGGAGTTTGGTATCATCTACGGTCATGACGAGTACTATAGTAATGTATCAAGGTATGATAGAGTTCCGTAACGTCGCTTCGTGTCGTTTGAGGTTTTTCTTTGGCTGAAAATACCTCAGCGTTATTTTTGGTGATTTTCAGAATTCGGTCGACAGATACAGTCGCCTCATCTACAGCGTTGTTTTGAAATGGGACAAGCACTGACTGAAACTTTTGGAGAAGCTAAGACAAGAAAAGTTGTTTAGACAGGCTCTCTTGAAAAATCCGTTGGCCAATGACCTCCCTCATTCGTAGTAACATGTCTGTTGCTGAGCCATATTGTAAAAAAGTTGAAATAACATTTATAGGTCGGTTAAATCCTAACGCTTGAAAATAACCCTTATTGAGTATTGTGAGGTTCCAAGACATCATAAGTGAACACACTAGGTGTGATGTCCCTGTTGAAATCGCGCGGTAGTGTCTTCGTTACCGCGCGGAGCTGTGGACGTGGGCCTGTCAGGCTGTGCTCGTGGAAATTAGCTTCTGCCTAGCAGAACAAGGCTTCGATATTGTCTGGTCAAAATGGCACTACCTGAAATATGGCTGGCGAAGGAGCCTGTTTAGTCACAATGAATATAAACGAGAATAAACGGGGATTATTAAAAAAAACTAGAAAAATATCACAATGGGTTTTGCGGGAATTTTAGAAATTTTACAAATTGAAATCATGAGTCAATTGAAGCTAGACCACCGTGGAAAACCTGAAAGTACTGGACGGCCGTTTCGTCAGGCGGAGTTCA